TTCCTCACCTTGGTCCCAGAGGAGGAGGCGATGCGAGCAGCCAACTTGAGCGGCCCCGTGATGAAGGCATGTTCCATCCCACTGGTTTCTCCTCTCACAGACCCTTCAGGGATCTGGAGCCTCAGCTAGACAAGATCAAAGTCGCCTCCTGCCCTCCCACTCTCTCTCACTCTCTGATGTTCTGCTCATCAGGCTGCTTCTAAGAAGTCGGCACAAGCTCTCCTGCAGCATGTCTTCAAGTATCATCCCCCACGGAACAATCCCAACGAGGTGAGGACCAACAAGCCGTTGCCTGCCACAACTCATCCCTTGCTGCTCCAGATCCCGAGTGACTTCTCGGACGCCATGATGAGGAAGACTCTACTCAAGACCATCAGGATTTACCACCAAGACAAAAACTCCATCGGCAAGTCGCTGCCATGTGCTGCCCATCATCGACTTACTCTCAGAGGGGATAGTTGGATGGATGGAGCTATCACCTGTTCTCCCTCATCGATGCTGCACCTTGAGCTGCAGCGGCTTCCTGACTGGCTCGATCTTGCAACAAGTTCACTACAAGCAGGGAGAACCTGCGCGCACTCACCCGGCGTCCTCCTCCTCGATGCTGCTGGCCCCATCGCATCTGAACGAGTGTCAGTAGGATACGAACGCCATCATGGCGGCGTCTTTCATGGAGTTTATCTGGGCAGGAAGGTCGTCCCAGGAGACACTCCTGTTCTTGCTGGAGAGGAGAGTCAAGGCAAGGAGCCGCGGCTGGAGCAGAACCGGTTCTTCCAGACGCTGGGAGGTTTAGCAGGAGGAGGATGATCCAAGTGAACCCTCGACGTTTCCTCTGCATTGTCATCGTCACAGCCCGCACAGCAGCTCCCAGCTCCTTGTCTACCCGGTGCACCGTTATGCGAGCCCTCGCCAGCTTGCGCATGCGCGTGAGGGATCTCTTTGCCCCTGCGATCCAAGACAGACGTCATGGACGTCTGAGAGCAGTTCCACATCACGTCTTCTGCTGACTCTCAGCATCCCGCGCTTGCTGTGCGATGTTGTCACACGACAAGGAGCGGTTCGAGGAGGGGACTGCGACCATTCAGAAGCACATCGCCTCTCTGTACATACACTTACACATCGATGGCCGTCAAGGACTCCAAGGGAAAATGCAGGAATGACGAGAGGAGGGAGGTGGAAACGCAAGAGGGAGGTGGAAGCGCAGGTCAGATCGAGCAGAGTGGGATGGATTGGGATGAGCAGAGTGAAGCGGGTGGGAGGTGCGAGAGAAGAGGTTGGGAGAGAATAGGGTGGGAGAGGAGAGGAGAGGAGAGGAGAGGAGAGGAGAGGAGAGGAGAGCTCCTGCGAAGATTTCTCTGTCTCGGATGTTGGCCCTCCAACATTCCGTTCTCCTCAAGCATAAATTCAGGGATCTCACAGTACCTGCGGGATGGAGCAGACTGGATATGGACAAGTACTTGTCCCCTGGAGAAGCTTTGTATTATGTGTTGACCAAAACAGAGGGAGAGTTTTCATTCATTATCTTGACATCCTCGACGG